GGGGGGGGCTTGGGCTGCGACTCACGACATGGTCTCCTGGAACTTGCGCAGGGTGGGCTCGACGTCCTCATCTGGCCCGCCGAGGTGTTCCTGGACATTTGTCTGCGCAGCGACGAGGGCGGGGAGGGTACGAGGCGTGCACGAGGCCAGATGGAACGAGTGGTGAGCGAGCGGCGTGCCAAGCGGACGGGGGTCGGTTGCCGACTTACGATAAAGGGGGCGTGGGGGATGCCGCGAGGGTTGATCTGGACCTGCTGCTGCTGTGATGTGGAAGCAGCGGACGCTGCTGTAGACGAGGCGGACATGCTGGGCGAGGTGGGCGGTGCCGATGCGAGGATGGCGGTGGTGGTGGTGGTGGTCGAGACGAGCCGTGGCCGCCGCCAGGGACGAGAAGGAATCGACACTCGACGCTGTCTGCCCGCAGCCACAGCCGGAAAATTGGACGCAGCGCAGCTGAATGGCACGGCACAGCAGCGCAGGGCAGGGCAGAGGTTGGGAACAGGTGCGGTCTGTGCGAGAGAGATGGGGCTTTGCACCTCGACCGATGCTGCTTTCAATTGACACCGACGCCCTCTCCCCACCACCACCATCGCCATCGCCATTGCCATCACCATCACACGAAGACTTCACCTCCCACCCTCGGCAGTTAATCGCTTCATCCTCAGCCCCGGCTCACACCCTACACGGTCGCCCCTGCCACACGCCGGCCGCCTCACCATCATGCCTCCTCCCACCAACCCGACCTACATCAAGCCCGCCCAGATACCCGACGCCTCGCCCGCACAGCTCGAACCCATCCTCCTCCGCCTCCTCGAGTGCCCGCGCCAGCTCCTCCCCGACCTCGCAAATGACTGCGCAACCGCCATCGCAGACCTGCCCGACGAGGACAGGCCACGCTCCTATGAGGGCCTCTGCGACGTCGCCCGCTTCTGCGTAGAAGACGAGCCCGGCTGGGACACGCCAAAGCGCGCCCTCTTTATCGGCGGACACCCGCGCATCGGCGCACCCATCACCGCCAACACTGCCGAGCTCAGCGAAGAGAGCAGAAAGGAACAGCTCAAGGGCGGCCAGGTCGACCCCGCCACGCTGGAGCGTACGTCGTCGGCGGCCACCAAAGCGCGCCCGGCCTCGCACCCGCAGCTGACATCTCACTCCTGCCCATCTCCCTCCCTTGATCCCTGCAGGGCTCGCACGCCTCAACGCCCTCTATGAGGCTCGCTATCCGGGCCTCCGCTTCGTCACCTACGTAGCCGGACGATCCCGCGCCGCCGTCGCAGACGAGCTCGCCGCCAACCTCGGTGCCGGCATCGCAGACCTCGCCGCTCCCTCTGACCTGCCCGCCGACCAGGTCAGGCCTCAGGGCACGCACGAGTGGCAGTCGGAGCTCGACCGCGCCTCGGATGCGCTCTGGGAGATTGCCACCGACCGTGCCGGAAAGCTCACCAACGAAGTCGAGTCACAGCCACCGGCCGGTCCTGACGCCGACGGCGGACCAGCACAGCAGGGTGAGAAGACAACGACAACGACAGCGGCAGCAGCGGAAGCGGCGGCAGCGGCCGACGCGACGACGAAGACATCAGCCTCTGAAGCGCCGCCATCCGGATCGGCTCTCGGGACCAGTACCGCCGCCAGGTCCGACGCCGTCGTCGGACAGGACGTCCCCTTTCTCTCGCTCGCCGCCTTCCGCATGCTCGTCCTCTCGTCGCCCGTGCTCGAGTCGTTTTTCGAGTCGGACCTCACACCCTCCTTCTACCTGGAACCCGTACAACGTTCGCAGAGCGGCGGCGCCTACGCCTGGCACACGGCTCCCACCCTTCCCGGCGCACCCCGTGCGGTTCCCGGAGCGGCGGCACCGGCAGCGGCGACTGCGGCAACGGGGGCCACCAAGGACGCCGGCGGGTGGGCGGCGGCGGAAGCAAGCTATAGCCGCGACGTGACGAGCGGCGCGCGGGGCAAGGTGGTCGGCTTCCTCGGCGGCCTGCTGGGAGAGGAGGGCAAGGCCAAGATGACGGCCCTCGCCGACCAGGTGGGCCAGCGGCTGCAGACGCACACCGTCAGCGGGCCCAAGCCGTCGTTTGGGCGCAAGGAGACGCTCGACGGCGGCAAGATGGACACGCAGGAGCTGCGGGACAAGGAGGCCGAGGAGCGGCGGCGCGTACAGGAGGAGCGCAAGGGCTCGCTGGGCAGTCGGCTGGCCAATGCGCTCCGCGGACCGCAGAGGATGGGGGCCGCGGATCCGTCCTCGACATTGGCGTCGGCGTCATCGTCCTCGGCCTCGGCCTCGGCCTCTCCCGGAGGTGGCGGCGGGGCGGACGAGAGGGGCAGGACAATAGACCGACGTCCCTCTGGCGGCGCACCCTCGACGACAACGACAACGGCCGAAGAAAGGCAGAGGAAGAGGATGAGTCTTCGCGGCACCGACCTGGCGACGTCCGGACCGCTCGCCGCGGCCGAGACGCTGCGGGCGGCGCAGGCCGCGCTGGTCGAGGAGCGACCTGCGTTTGTCATCGATGAGGTCGGCGCGAACGGCGAAGAGGAGGAGGAGGAGGATGAGGAGGAGGGGGAGGAGGGGGAAGGCGGTGCCGAAGAGGCGGTGGGCGTATCGCCGGAAGACGAGGGGGAGGCGCAGGGCCTGCTGCGGGGCAAGGAGGCCGCCATGGCAAAGGAGCTGCGCCAGGCTGCGCCCCAGTAGTCGTCGTCGTCGTCGTCGTCGTCGTCGTCGTCGTCGTCGTCGTCGTCGTCGTCGTGGGGTGTGGCGACGGTCTTTCGAGCGAGAGCAGGCAAGTCGGGGATTGGAAGCGAGCGGCAGGAAGGCTGCTCCGACGACGACATTGGCGGAACAAGAGCTCGTGGTCTCGAGGAGGGGGCGGTCTCGAGGAGGGGTATGAGATTGGGGAATAAATCCATCTAGACGACGACGACGACGACGACGAGCGAGCGAAGAGAGACAGACAGGCAGACAGACAGACAGACAGACAAAGGCAATCTAGCAAGACCAAGGCCGAGGTCCACGGTCGGAAGAGGAGGAGGGGCGGTGGGGAGACTAGGAAAGGAGCAACTCGTCGACCCTCTCCGGGGTGCCCTCGACACGGTGCCAGGTGCGTACGACGTCGCCCCACTGACTGAGTTCGACGACGCGCGACCGCCGTCGGAATCCGGCCAGACCGTACCCTGCAAAGCTGGATCCGCCGGCAAAGCAGATCCAGACGCCGTCGATGCGTCGACAGTCCTCGTTGACGTGCATGTGTCCGTGGCAGAGTAGACGGATACTTCCCCCTTGCCTCCCTTGTCCTTGTCCTCGTCCTCGTTCCGACCCTCGTTCCAGCGTCGAGGAAGATTGGTTCGCGTGGATATCGAGGATCGCCTCGAATATCCCGCCCTGCGACTGGCCGCCTTCAAAGGTCGTTATCTCCTCGCGCACCCCCTTGATTAGCGGTAGTCGTTGCCCCAAAGACGAAGACGAAGATGAAGTTGAAGACGAAGGAGGAGCATCCTCCACGTCGACTGGGGCGAATGCTTCGGGGACGGGGATGTGCATAAACAGGATCGAGGGCGGCGCGGCGAGCATCTGCCCCTGATCCGCATCCGCTTCCCACTCCCCCCGTGCGCCCGATTCTCGCCGTCCCACCGCCTCCGCCGCCGAACGACGACGACGCCACGGCTGCGGGCCCAGATCCTCGGCGCCATCGGGACGGTAGGGCCGCAGCGTGGGTCTGCGCGCGTCAATCTTGCGCCGGAACCACTGCACCTGGTCGGCGTGCACCCAGCCGTACCCCGGCTTCTTCCACGGCTTCCACTTGTCCTTTGGCGCGCGCGAGCCCGAGTCAAAGAACCACAGCGTCGAGAGGAGCGTCCGGTCCCGGTGCGGCGAGAACAGGTCGATGTAGTAGTTGCCGTCGCCCGTGACCTCGGCCGGACCGACGCGGCTGAGGCTGTACGGAAGGCTCTGGAGCAGCCGCATCTGCTCGGTGCGCGTGTAGGCGCCCGTCTCGCTGTCGTGGTTGCCCAGGATGGCGGCCCACGGCACCTTGCGCTCGATGAGCGGGTTGACAAAGAGCGGTATGACGCTGCGCTCGTCCCAGCTCGTCGCCTGGCCGTTGAGCTGGTCCCCGCTGAACACAACCAGGTCGGGCTTCTCGGCGTCGAGCCACTGCCCAATGAGCCGCAGCGTGTCGTTCTTGGCCACGCACGCCTCGACCCGCTCCACGTCGCGGCAGGGCTCTGGGTTGACGGAAAAGTGCAGGTCGGCCAGCTGCAGGACCTTGAAGGTGCCGTCGCGCCGGAACGTGGGCGGCAGCGTGCCCGTGCTCGGCCGCGGCGTGCGGCGGATCGAGAGCGAGACGCGCGATGCGCCCATGGCAGGGTGCGCGGCCGAGATGACGCCCGCCAGGCTGAAGCCGGGCCATGCCGGGTTGTCGCCGTAGACGAGGTCGAGCTCGGTGATGGCCTCTTCGTCGTGCGCTGCTGCACCGTCGGCGCCGCCGTCAACCCCGCCGGCGGTGCGAAAGTAGAGGTGCATGTTGCGCTCCTTTGCCCACATGCGCATGTACTTGCTGCGCAGGTCGTTCTTGACCCTGTGCCATCCGGGACCGGTCGGGTTGGCGTCGACGCCGGACTCGACGAGGCGCACCTCTACGACGCGAGGGACGTCGTTCCTGCGGCTCTTTCGGTAGAAGAGGAAGCGCTGGTCGATGGAGCCAAAGAGGTTGCCGAGGATGCCGCCGGACGCGGCGCCAAAGACGGCCGTGGGGTCGAGGGAGCGGTCGACACGCACCCACTTGCCCAGCCGGGCGTCGTCGTCGGGCGTGGTGCGGGGCTGGCAGGCGGAAAAGGGGAGGCAGGACTCGACGGCGATGTCGGTCAGGGGCGCCGGGTTGGGCAGGAAGGGTGCGTAGGTGTCGAGCGGGAACGAGGGCAGGTTGAGCTCGTCCGGTACTGCCTGTGCGCCCGCCGCTTTGCCGCCGCCGCCGCCGCCGAGGTCCTCGTGCTGGACCGAATGAGGGGCGGCGAGGGGATCGTGTTCGAGCACGATCGAGTCGAGGGCCTGCCATCCGATGATGCGGGACGCGTAGGGGGTGCCGTCGTGCGCGAGGTAAAAGAGGGCGGTGAGCATCATGGTGAAAGAGCCCACCACGACCAGGTGGCGCAGCGGCATGCGGCGGCGTGGCATGGCGGGCAGGGGCGGGGCGGGGCAGAAGAGACGGGGATTAAGCGGCGGGCGGTTGCGGGCTGAGGGCGCACTAATCGTGGCGAGAGGGGTGGGGACGAGCCCAGAGCATTCCGCCGTCGTTCGACGAGATGCGGCTGTCTATGTATTGCGGGGGGACCGCGGCGTCTATAGCTCGAGGGTGGCCGGAGTCGAGACAGGCTTGGACGGTTGGTGGTGGTCGGGAGCAAACCAGCTGGCGGGGGGTGGGGGTGGGCTCGAGCCAGCCGCCCCGTGCCCAGGTCGACTCAGGGTCCAGGCGTGCAGGCGGCAGAGTCAGCGCTGCTCGCAGCTGGGTGCACCAGCGGCCCCGCCGGCCTCGCCCCCCCGCCCCGACTGGCCGCCGGCGACACCAAGACCATCGAGGACCACCCTCCTGGCATCACCGGGCTCCTCGCTGTGCCCTTACCGCCGATCCCACCCCGCACGGGCAGCAGCGACAACGCGACGCCATTCGGTCCAGATCTCTATCAATTGACTGCAATCGTGCCTACCACGTCCTCGCCACCGCTACAGTGCTGTGCTCTGCTACTACTCTGCGGCGGCTACTCGTCCTGCTTGGCGCTGCCCACCTCGAACCACGCATCGCGGCAGTCGACGGCCCGCTCCCTCACCTTGCGCTTCGGGTCGTCGATGCCCGTGCCCGGAGCAGCGAGCGCCTTGAGCACCTCGACCTTGTACCGCTGCACCTCGGCCGCCGGCAGCGCAGTCGCAATCGACGACAGCGCCCGCAGCGCCGCGATCCGCGTCGTCGCCACCACGTGCCGCGCCTCGCGCGCATTCTCCAGCAGCCTCCGCACCAGCGTCGACAGGTGCGAAACGACCAGGTCCGTCGGGTCCTTGGACGTCGCCGACCCGCTCCCTCCCAGCGCCGTCGCAGACGCAGACGCAGGCGCCGCGCGCAACCGCCGCCCCACCTCGACCGACACCAGGATGCCGTCGGCGGCGCTCATCCTCGCCCGCGCATCGGGCAGCGACAGCGCCTGGATCAGCAGCGGGAACAGCTCCACCAGCTGGTCGCTGATCGTCTGCGGCGGCAGGTACGGCAGCAGCGACGACAGCGCGATCAGGTACAGCGTCTTGGTCCACGCCGACCCACTGCCGTTGCCCCGGATCAGCCTCGGCAGCAGCGACGAAAAGAACCGCTGCCGCGACAGCAGCCGGATCGTGAAGCCGTTGGCCTTGGTCACCACCCCGTCCTCGGTCCTCGCCACAATCTCGAGCGATCGCGACGCGTGCTTGGCCGCCGCCCACCGAGGGTCCTTGTCGTCGGCCCGCGCCGCATCGCCGGCCGGCGCGTCAAAGATCTCGTCGAGCACGCGCCCAATCATCCGGTCGCCCTGCTTGCTCGCCTTGACCGAGAAGCCGCGCGCCATCCACATCCACGCCTGCTGGGCCCGCCGACGGCGCACCGGATCCGGGGCCGCATCGCCCGACGACACGGGTAGCACCTCGGTCCGCCACAGCTCGTCGGCGAGCGACTCAAACTCGGCAGCGACGGCGGCCTGCGTGTCGTCGACGTGCTTGTTGATGCACGAGCACAGCATCCACATCCCCGCCTGCGCCTGCAGCTCCGACACGCCGGAATTCAGCGTCCAGCGCAGCAGCTGGCGCACAAACGCGAGCGCCGCAGAGCCATCGCCACCGCTCGAGGCATCCCCGAGCGACGGGATGCCGGCCTCCTTGCCGCTGGCGACGACCGCCGCGCTGAACAGCGCCAGACTGTCCCGCTTGGCCTTGCTGAAGGACGATGCGTTGTCCTCGACGTCAAAAGGACGGAAGTTGCCGTTGCCGAGCGGCGAGTTGGACGGGATCAGCGAGGCGCCGTTGTTGCCGCCGTCGGCGCCGCCGACGGGGATCGGCTTGGCGCCGCCCGAGAAGGTCTTGTTGAGGATCACGAGCAGCTCGCGCTGCTTGGCCGTGTCGAGCGCCTTGACCAGCGTGCCCAGTAGGCGCGCCGAGTCGGCGATGATCTGGGCGTGGGCGCCGATGCCGAGTCGGCGCGGGCTGGACGACTCGACGTCGGCCTCGGCGGCCGCCTCGAGGCCGCTGAGCGCCAGCACCACCAGGCGCGGCGGCAGCGCCTGGCCGTACTTTGCCAGGTCCCGGTGGCCGCGGCGCTTCTTTTCGTCGAGCAGCGTCTGGAGCGTCAGGATGAGGCCGCGGGCGTAGCCGAGGTTGGCCTCCTCGAGCGCGCGCACCTCTTCCTCGATCGCCTCGAGCGGCTTGTCCTCCTCGGTGGTGTCGTCGACGCCGAGGATGCCGGCGGACCGGCTGATGGGCACGCAGCAGAGCTCGAGGCGCGTGAAGAGCTTGACCACGACGGCGTCAAAGAGGTGGGGCGCGACGCAGAGGTGCGAAATGGCGCCGAGGCTGCGCCGGATACTGGCCTTGGACTGGTCCAGGAGCCCCTCGAGCTCGTCGACGGGCTGGCCGGCGGTGCGCGACTCGGGGTCCTGCGATGGCAGCATCCGCTCGGGCAGACCCTCGAGGAGCACCGGCAGCACAATCTCCTCGATGAGCTTGGACGTGGCGCTCTTGCCCGCAGGGCCTCCGGCCGCCCGCTCGTTGGCGACCACCTCGATGGCGCAGAGCGCCTCTTCGCGCACGTCGTCGCCCTTGACCGAGGTGAGCAGCTCGGCGACCTCGCGTGTGAGAAAGGCCGTCTCGTCGGCCGAGAGGAAGGGCTTGGGCCGCGCATCGTCGGATGCGGTCGGCGCCGCCGGGGCCGTCGCGGTCGATGTGCTGAGGATCGAGATGGCGACGACCGACGAATAGGCCATCAGGGCGGAGCGGCGGTACGACGTCGAGCGGAGGCCGTTGGACAGCGACGAAAGCAGGTCGCCGAGGAAGGCGTCGAGCGGACGGTTGTCGCCCTGGTAGGATCGGCGCAGGTCCTTTGCAGGCAGCATCTGGCCGGAGCCCTCGCGGAAGCTGGCATCGTTCGCGGCCGTGGCGTCGGTCTTCGGAACAGTCAGTGCAGCCGGGCTTGCCGCCGCCGTCTCGGCCCTGTCCCTGTCCTTGGATGCCTGGACCGCCTCCGAGGCGCGGTAGACGCGGGCGAGCGCCTCGAGGACCTCGCCGACGCCGTTGAGGATGGGGGTGCGCATGGCGAGGTCGGCGGGCTCGGCAAACATCTTCATCATCTGGTCCATGAAGCCGTAGGTGGCCAGGTAGGCGGTCGAGGGCGATGCGCGGACCATGCAGCCGAGAACCTTGATGGCGGCCTTTGCGAGCGACTTGCCGGGCTCCTCGAGCTCGACGAGGCAGTCGTGGACCATCCTGGGCGCGATGCCCTGGGGCGGGTCGATGCCGTCGTAGAGGACGTGGAGGAGGGTGGTGAGGGCGTCGCACGACAGGTCGCAGGTCTCGTCGTCGGTGGCGTGGAAGATTTCGATCTTGAGCCCCTCCCACAGGCGCTTGGCGTTGGCGTCTGCGGCGGCACGGCCGTAGACGGGGGCGGCGGCGATGATGGTGCGGAGCGTGTCGAGCTTGGCGGGTCCACCGGCGGCCGAGAGCTTTTCGAGGAGGAGCGGGTAGCCGAGCGGGGCCATTGCGGGCGAGGCGCAGAGGGCGGCGCGGAGGGCGAGCTTGAGGTCGTCGGATGTGATGCCGTAGGGGTCGTCGGGCGGGGGGCGGAAGGTGATGGGGAAGTAGCAGAAGGTGATGTCGAAGAAGGCCTCTGTCATTTCGCGGTCCATCTGCCACTCGGTGAGGAGGACCTTGTCGACGCCAAAGAGGACCATCAGGTTGCGCGGGTCCTTTTCGCCCGTGACGAGGCGGACGTAGCCCTTGAGGAAGGGCTTCCCCTCGCACCGGTCGGGGCGGGCCTCGGCGGGCAGCTTCTTTTTGATGTCGTCGTCTTCGTCGTCGTCATCTTCGGCGTCGTCATCGCCGCGCTGCTGCTTGTCGAGGTCCATGGCGGTTGGGCCATCGCCCGTGCTGTGCGAGTTTGGATCGCGGTACGACTTGAGGCTGTTGCGGTGGTGGGCGACGAGCGAGTCGAGGAGGCGGTAGACGAGGAAGCGGAGCGACTGCGGGTGATCGCTGGGTTTCACGTGTTGGAAGAGGGCGGTGCAGACGGCGTGCGCCTGCTCGAGGCCGAAGCCCTTGACGGGGGCGGCTTGGCTCGGCTGCGTCGGAGGGGGCTGGCTCGAATGGCACGCCGAGAGGGCGGTGAGGGCGCGGAGGCAGGATACGAGCATGGCGCTGCCCTGGAGCGTCTTTGCCTCTGCCTCGTTTCTGCGCGCGCGCGGTGCCGTCTCGGGGAGCACCTCGGGCGCGTTGGCGGAGCGGATAAAGCTGTCAAAGATGAGGACCGAGTCCGAGACCTTGTCCGCGAGGAACGTGGTGAGCGTGCGGACGGCCTGGATGGTAAAGATGTCGGCGACGGCGATCCGGGCGGGGGACGCGGCGGCGGAATGAGGTACCGATGGCGTCGGCGCGGGCCGTGCCGGGTCGAGAAAGTGGCAGGTGATTTCGGCGAGGAGCTGCACCGCCCGGGTGCGCTGCTGCTCGTCTTGGCTGGTGAGGTACTCGCCCATGGACCGAACGATGCCGAGCAGCGACACTTTGCCCGCCGAGAGATCGTCGAGCAGCGAGGGCGGCGTGTGCTCAAAGGATCCGACCACGTAGGCGCGGATGGCCTGCGCGTGGTCCGCCATGGTGGCTGGCTGGCTGGCTGGTCGTCGAGCGAGGCAGGGCTGTGGGGGAGCAGTCGAGTGGGTGCAGCGAGGGGGGCGACAGCAGCAGCGGCGGAAGTGCCGATGACGGTGACGATGCTGCACGACCGAGTGGGAGGAGAGGGCAGCCGGGTGATCCGAAAGGGGGGAGGAGCGAGCGACGAGGTCGAGGTCGAGGTCGAACCAAGGCGAGGTGGAGTCAGCCGGCGTGGGCCTGGCCTGCCTGGCTGCCCTTTGGCTTTCTTCGCGTCCCAGCCTCATGTCACCCACCCAACTCGCCCCGATCTAGGCCCGATCCATCAGTCTGGCTTGGCCCACACGTCTCGGCGACTAAAGATGTCTGGGGCCAGCCTCCACATCAGACGCCAGGCGGGTGCGCCGGGCCAAGGTGACTCTGCAGCAGCAACAGCAGCAGCAGCAGCAGCTTGCATCAAAAGCCACCGAGCGGAGGCCAGGCGCACAGATGACGCCGCCGTCATGGCCGTTGCGGATGACCCGGCCTGGCCTGGCCTGGCCAGTCGGATGGTCCGGGAGCGGCTGGGTCGCCGCCAACAGCCTGCCGCCTGCTGCCTTGCCTGGTGTGGGCCTGCCTCTGCCCTTCTGTCGTCCGCCCTCCTCTGGCCCCCCGCCACCACCACCACCATCGTCGCCATCGCCGCCATCGCCCCGCCTCGCCCCGCCTCGGCCAGCCATCTCGCCTTCAACCCGCTCTACTTCTTCCTCTGCCTCTTGTCGCCTGCCGCTCTGACCGCCACGATGCTCTCGCGCGACGCCTCCATGGGACCCATCGAAGACACCGACCCTCCCGACCAATCAACGCCAGCAGACGCGGCCACCACCACCACCACCACCACCATGGCGTCGACGGCAGCGACAATGATGACGGCTACCCCGAGCTCCAGCCTGCCCCGCATACAGGTCCATCTGCCCGCCGACCTCATCCCTGACCGCCTCGTCCTCGGTCTAAATCAGATCACCGCTCAGCAAGTGCGCCAGGCCACCATCCGCATCTCGAACCGCGGGCCTATCCCCGCCCAGGGCATCGTCCCTCCTGCCGCTCAGCCCTCACCCTCCTCATCCTCGACCTCAGCCCCGTCCTCGAGCCAAACCCCTCGTCCCGTCCCGCTCTGGTGCTGGAACGTCGTCTTTCTCCCAGACACGGCCATCAATGTCAAATCGTGGAGTACATCCACCTCGTCGTCAAACTTTGCACCTCTCCAAGACCGCAACGCCTCAAGCGGATTCGTGCAGGAACCCTTCATCATCAGCGTCAGATACCACCCGGACCGACCCTCGAGCGCATTCCGCGCGCTGGGCCACATCCTCGCTACGACGAGGTGCATTGCCACCACGGCCATCGCTTCGGACTTAAACAGCGACGTAGACGACGGCGGAGACGACCTCGGCCATGGCCACGACCACGCCCCGCTCCACCCTAACCTCTTTGCCCAGCATCCGATTGACGACCCTACACCGCGTCGCTGGCACATCTCCCCCTCGCTCGCAAACGCGCGCCTCAATTACACCGAGACGGCCAACTTCACCACCGTCGGCACCATGATCGACTGCAGCCGCAACGGCGTCCTCAACGTCGCGAGCGTCAAGTTCCTCTGCCGCACCCTGGCCTGCATGGGCTACAACATGCTCCAGCTCTATACCGAGGACACCTACAAGATCCCCGACGAGCCCTTCTTTGGCTACCTGCGCGGCGGCTACTCGGACGACGAGCTGCGCAGCATCGACGACTACGCCCATAACCTCGGCATCGAGGTCATCCCCTGCATCCAGACGCTCGGCCACCTCGGCCAGATGCTCCAGTGGCCCCGCTTCCTCTCGCTCCGCGACACGGCCGAGGTGCTGCTGGCCGAATGGCCCGAGACGTACGCCATGCTCGAAAAGATGATTGCCGCCGCCACAGCCCCCTTTCGCAGCAGAAAGATCCACCTGGGCATGGACGAGACCCACGGCCTGGCCCACGGCCGCTACTACTCGATCTTTGGCCACGCCAACGGCAAGGACGGCTCCCGCGTCTTTGCCGAGCACCTCCAGCGCGTCGACGCCATCTGCCGCCGCATGGCACTCGAGCCCATGATCTGGAGCGACATGCTCTTCTGCCTCAGCTCGCGCAACAACAGCCTCACGGGATACTACGACTCGGCCAAGCCCGCCGATGCCAGCGTCGAGGGGATACCGGACGGCGTCGACCTCGTCTACTGGGACTATTACCACACTTCGCAGCGCAGCTACGCCAGCCGGATCGAGGGCCACCGCGAGCTGCGTGGGTCGAGTCCGTGGACGGCGGCGGGCAGCTGGACCTGGTCGCGCTTCTGGACGGCGCTGCCCTTTACGTTTGTCACCTGCCGCGCCAACCTCAACGCGTCCAAGCAGGCGGGCGCCGGTGTCGACCACGTCTTTCTCACCACCTGGGGCGACGAGGGTAACGAGGTGGACCTGTGGTCGTCGCTGCCGGCATGGTCCTACTACGCCGACCACGCCTATACGCCCGACGACGAGGTCGACGTCGAGCTGCTCAAGGCGCGCTTCGATGCCGTCGTCGGCGGCCAGTTTGACGACTTTGTCCTCGGCTCCAAGCTCGACGAGCACTCGGACGACGAGACGACGCACCCGGTCGACGACCGCATCCATTTTGCGCCCAACACGAGCAAGTGGCTGCTGTGGAGCGACCCCGTGGCGAGCTTTGTCGAGCCCAGCGCGGCGGCCGCCGGCCTCGACCTCGAGCGGCACTATGCGTGGCTCGAGGAGGCGCTGCGCGAGAGACTCGAGGGGACCGTCGTCGAGACCGACGACCGCGAAGACCGGAGCGACGACCGGAGCCGGAGCACTGACGACGGCGATGAGGGCGACGACACCATGTCGGACAGCTCGGCCGGCGCGCCAAGCTACCTGACGCGGACGCTTTCGGACCACCCCTTCAACGCGCGGCTGATGCTGCCGCTGCTCCTCTCGCGCGTCCTGTCGCTCAAGGCGACGCTGCGCACGCGCCTGCACCGCGCCTACGTGGCGCACGACTGGCCGACGCTGGGCCACCTTGCGAAACGCACGCGGGCGTGCCTGGAGGCGACCAGGCGGCTGTGGCGATACCATCGACAGGTGTGGATGAGCCTGTACAAGCCGCAGGGGTGGGAGACGCTCGAGCTGCGGTACGGCGGGCTGGTGGCGCGCCTCGACACGCTGACGACGCGCGTCGAGGCGTTTCTGCGGTTCCTCGACGCGGGCGGCGAGGTGGGTCGGCCGCCGTCGAGCGGCGGAGATGAGACCGACGCAGCAGCCGGGCCGAGGACCGACGTCTTCCTCGTCGACCCTGCCGCCCATGCAGACGGCCAAGGGCATGGGCATGGGGCAGGAGAAGCGGCGGCTGAGCAGGTCGTGTATTGCCTGCCGGAGCTCGAAGAGGACCTCAAGATTGTCTATGGCAGCGCCGAGCAGCTGCTCGATTATCATCGCGTCAGTAGACCGACCTACTGCTAGAGGGGGAACGCTCCAATAGACTGTAGACTCCAGGGTTCAATCTCGTCGGCGACACTCCGCGGCTGGCTGTGGAGGCGACGGCGAGAGAGGGGCGGCGGTGTCGCTGCGGGCACACGGGGTCGGACAAGGGCGAGGTGGGCAGGCATCACGACGTCGCGTCGTAGGGGGGGAAGGTTTGGATTGCGATTTCGATTCTCGGTCCGCAGCAAGTGCGAACGAGGCCAGAGGGTGCGGGGCGGATCCGAGGGGGCACCGCATACCCTCGCCAAACTATGCTGCTCTGCTCCATCCGTCTTGAGATGGCCGTCGCTCGACCCCAAACGACGTTGCGATGCAGGCCGAGGGTAGGCGGAACGGCTACCAGACGAAGGGGACGAGGACCTTGCGCCTCGGGTAGTCCTTTCCAAACTCCCTCTTGTAAGCCTTGTGCTTCTTGACGGCCCAGATGGCCATCTGACCGGCGCTGACGGCGGCAAAGGCAGCAGCGGCCGGGTTGAGGGTGAGGACGGTGAAGGCGGACCAGGCGAGGATCTCGAAGGTGTAGTTGGGGCACGAGACGAGCTCGAATGCGAATCCGCGCGGGATCTTGCGGACGCGGGTGCCCGCGGGGCGGAGCCAGCTGAGGATGAGGTGGCAGTAGGCATTTGCGAGTTCGGCCAGGACAAAGACGGCCGTGCAGCCGGCGAGGAAGGCGTCCGAGTCCTGCAGCGTTCCCTGGAGGCGGTCGCGCGAGTAGTAGGGCGAGTAGACGCCGAAGGCGAGGAAGACGCCCGAGAGGATCCAGTAGTGGAACGAGTTCTTGAAGATGTTGAAGAGGGGCATGGTGCCGTTGGAGAAGCGGTGGACAAAGAGGGTCTCGAGCTCACGCTTGGCGTAGTGGGCCAGGACGAGGAGCAGGGCGAGGGTCTGCATGCGGCTCGGCTCAAACTGCTTCCTCCAGATGGTGCCCGCAAAGGTGTACATGAGCGGGTGGATCCAGAGGGGACCGGCGTACTCGGTGAAGAAGACGGTGGCCCATCCGACCTGCGGGCCGAGGTCCTTGACGTAGAGCGTCTGGCCCGGCTGCACGCCGAGGTCCGGCAGGGAGCGGGCGTCGTCGAGGAGCGGCTTCTTGTCCTCGGTCGTGATGCGCTGCCGCTCGGCCGTGAGGCGCGCCGACTTGGCCGCAATGGCCGCTTTGAGGTTGGCCAGCGTCGGCTGCGCATTGGGCAACGTCAGCGTGAGCGGGAAGCCGCGCGAGGCGGGCTTGCCCGGCGCGACGCGCTTGTCGACGGTGACGGTGAACGTGGACGACATGGCAGGCGGGGCGCGCGGAAGGGGGATGGGCGGCGGAGGGGACGACGCAGAGGGTGGACGTGGTGGTGGTCGTGAGGAGAAGAAGAAAGCGGGTCGCGAGCCGGGGTCGGGTGGCGGAGGTTGGCCTAAGGGGCCGGATTGGATCGGCAGTCGGGTCGGTCGGCTGCCTCTTTTGTCGTTTTCCCAAGCAGCAGCAGCAGCAGCGAGCGGCGAGCGGCAAGCGGCAAGCGGGGCGTTACGCCTGGGTGGGGCTGGCGAGCCGCCGCCGCCTCTCGTCTCTGTCTGAAGTCGGTGGTCGTGGCCCGAGCCCCAACTGTCGAGGCAGGCCAGGCCAGGCCAGGCCGACTCCCGACTTCCGAAGGGTCGCCGCGACTTTTTTTCCCGGCCTTCCCAAACGCCAGGCCAAGCCAGGTCAGGGTCAGGGTCTAGCGAGCGGGGGCGAGGGCCCGTCGAGGCCTGCCTGCTTCCTACCACCTCGACCTTGTTGGCCGACCGACATCGCACAACTGCAATCACCTTGGACCTCGACGGCGCGCATCATGACGGACCCCTCCTCCTCCTCTTCCCTCTCCGCGACCACGTCGGCACCCGCGCAGCAGCAGCAGGAGCGCCGACGACAGACGACATCGCCAACCGAGGCGCGCTTCCTCCGCTGGTTCCGCACCTCGGGCGGCACTCTGGATGCGCGGTGCCGCATCCAGCCCATCGAGGGCATGGGCAGGGGCATGGTCGCCCTCGAGCCCATCCCTGCCAACACGACCATTTTCACCATCCCGCGCCACGTCCTCCTCAACCTCAACACCTCGGCTCTCTCGGCCGCCATCGCCGCCTCGCCCGACGAAGCCGCAAAGGCGACGTGGGCAGAGATCCAGAAGAAGGGTTGGCTGCCGCTTATCCTCGCCATGCTCTGGGAGAGGCGCCGTGCTTCCCTCGAGTCGATAGGGGCGACTACGACGGCAGCGGCGGCCATCTCGGCAAATGGGGCCGACGCAGACGTTTCCATGGACGATGTCGACGCGCCGCCTAGACCGGACCGCGACAGTGTCGCCGCTCTGAGAAGCCAAGACGAAAACGCCGCCGCCGCCGACGACGACGACGACGACGAGGGCGTCGAGGACCCCTCGAACCCGTACGCCACCAGCCCGCGCCCACCGGGCCAGCAGCGGTGGGGGCCCTACTTTGACATCATGCCGTCGCGCTTCTCGACGCCCATGTTCTGGCCTGCGTCGGATCTGGCCCACCTCGAGGGCACCTCGATTGTCGACAAAATCGCGCGCGACCAGGCAGAGGCCGACTACCACTCGCACCTGCTGCCCTTTGTCCGCGCCCACCCGCTCCTCTTTGGCCCGCCCAACGACGTCGAGACGTGGTACGACCTCGACAGCTACCACGTCATGGGCAGCCGTATCCTCAGCCGCAGCTTCCACGTCAAGAGCAGAAAGAGGGGCAGGGAGGGCGAGGCCGTCGACATGGACGAACGCCCCGACGACGGCGACGACCAGGACGACGACGGCGACGAGGAAGTGGGCGAGGTCATGGATGACGAGCAGGAGGGCCACGAGGAAGGCCCAGATGGCGATGACGGCGCCAATGACAACGACGACGAGCAGGCAGGCGACGAGACCAGGGACACGCACGACGACGACGACGGCGACGGCTCCGACAACGACTCCGACAGCTCCGACGACGACGACGAAGACGAGGCCGAGCAGGTGTCCGACATTAGCATGACGCCAATGGCCGACATGCTCAACGCGCGCTTCGCGTCGGACAATGCCCGGCTCTTCTACAAGTCGCACCTGCTGTGCATGCGCACGACGCGCGACGTCGAGGCGGGCGCGCAGATCTTCAACACGTACGCCGACCCGCCCAACAGCGACCTGCTGCGGCGGTACGGCCACGTCGACGAGCCCAACGGCAACGACGTCGTCGAGCTGCACTCGGACCTCGTCGTGCGCGCCGCCGTCGAGGTCGTCGCCGCGCGCACCGGCACCCGCTCCGAGCGCGCCGCCGTCGAGCGCGACCTGGCCGAGCGCAGGGCGTGGGCGTGCTCG